CCCGATCGGCAGTACAGGCGTGCGATATGCCTTCGTTCTGAAGACCTGGGTTTGAATCCCTATGCATAGTACCGATGTGTTAGGAGTGCTGTTATCGCATCCAAGTCAAACATGCTTGGCAGTCACTGCTCAGGAGAGGCTCACAGTGAGATGCATAATGAAATTGAGCTGGGAGTACTCTGGGCTACCGAATCAATTGGCTGTATATATTTTGATTGCGTATGTTCTCCTGTAGAAGAAAAGGCACCCAATTGATTCGGTAGCCGCTGAAGGTGCATTGGAAAAGCCATGCCTTAGAGGGAGCTTTGCCAACCCTGAGTCACAGTTTGTAAGGACAAGCTGCTAGCTGGCTGCTTACCTGCACCCCCGCAGGTACAAGTGATCACAGCTCCTTTTGGCTGCGGATTGCCATTCCTGGCCAATGGGAGCGGAGGGAAGCGGTGTCCCAGTTTGCACTGCTTCCTGCAGCTCCCGTTAGCTGGGAACAGCAATCCGCAGCCACCAGGAGCTGCAATCGCCTTTACCTGTAAACAAAGCAGCTAGCGGCTTGCCCTTACAAGCCACAACCCAAAGTCCCCGCTCTAAGGAGTTTAGGCTTGCACTATAGGTATGCTGACCATACGTCCCGGATTTCAATACTCTGTACCAGTGCCCCCATCAAGTAGTGAAATGTCCTGGAAAGCCCCACTGAACATTTCACTATGCGATGGGGACACTGGCTTGCAGGGAAGAAGCGACCAAGAAATGGCTCTGTGCCACTGCTCCTTGCCTGGCACAGCAGCTTCCTCCCCCATTGGAGCACATAAGAAGCTCCATTGGAGCTTTGCAGGTGGGCAGCCGGGCCGGTTTCCAGCCACTGCGCCACGCACTGTCACGCAGCTCCCTTCCTCCCCCCGCAGCACCGCCACTGCCTCGCAGGGCCTCCAGTTTGGCCACGCTCCTGCCTCCTCCAGGCCACTTGTTCTTTTACAGTGGCTGCCGCTGCCGGGAGGAGTGGGGAACAAGGCAAAACCCAACCGCGCTGCTCCTAGATCTCCTCCCCTTGGAGCTGCTGTCTCAGCCCAGGCAGGAGCTGCACAAAGCCCAGCTGGGCACTGCGAGGCAGGATGTGCTCGGGCTCAGCAGGTGTGCTCCGTGTGCTACTGCTCTCTCCCCTCCCTTCCCCTCCCGCTGGCAACGCGCATGCTCTGGCAGGGAAGGTCGGGGTTTCTTCATTTCCTCCCCCCATGTGTCCTCCCAGCAGGGAGCTGGTGCTGATCCCCACTGCATGGGGTGGGGAGTTGAGCTCACTCCCCTTCTCACCCCACTGAGGGAATGGCAGCAAGCCTGGTCTGGCAGAGAAAATCGGGGTTGCTTCCCCCCCCATGCCCTCCAAGTGGGGAGCTAGTACGGCAGCCTCGTGGCTGTGCCAGCATCCCTACTGCATGTGGCTGAGCTCCCTTCCCACCTGCTGGGGGAGTGGCAGCACCCTGTGCAGAGGCTTTCCCCGCTGCAAGGAAGCACAAAGCCAGGCAAGCATCCCTCCCTCATGCCAAGACCCTCGCACCCCAATCCTCCTCCCTCACTTCCTTCCCCCTGCCAAGACCCCATTCCCCCAGCTTACCCCAACATCCTCC